TTCTCCCTCTGACCCTCCCCCCTCTCATGTGCTCTCTCTCTCTCATTCTCTCTGTCTCAAATAAATAAATAAAATCTTTAAAAAAAAAAAAATCTTAAAAAAAAAAGGTGGGGGGGAAGCTCCAACTTCTCCTGTCCTTCCTGCCCCCTGTGGGTCCCTGGACAACTGGCGTTTCTCCCTTTGCGCCCTTGCACACAGCCAGGCTCGCAGGTGCACGGCGAGACCAGCTCTGTGATGCTCACACGGGCTGGAAAGGGCCCCAGGGAAAGGCTCCACAGGTGCCTGAGACCCAGAGGAGTGGAGGGCACCAGAGCTACAGAGAGAAGAAAGCAGCGCTGGCCGGGGCGAAGAGCGCAGTAAAGATAATGGACAAAACAGACATAGTGAAGAGGGAAGCTTTCTAGCTGTAAAAATGTGAACTGGTGATTTAAAACATTGGTTTCAGTCAGACTGCTTTTAATAATTCACTCAGAGCAGGGGCGCCTGGGTGGCTCAGTCGTTAAGCGTCTGCCTTCGGCTCAGGTCGTCATCCCAAGGTCCTGGGATCGAGCCCCGCATCGGGCTCCCTGCTCAGCGGGGAGCCTGCTTCTCCCTCTCCCTCTGCCTACCACTTTTCCTACTTGTGCTCTCTCTGCCAAATAAATAAATAAAATCTTTAAAAAAAAAAAATTCACTCAGAGCAGAAGGAAACATTTATGTCCATAAAATTGCTGACAAATCCAACAGGTGAGACAGAGAAGGAATTAGAAATTATAATGAATAAATCAACAGACAAAGAAGGGGGCAAATGACCCCGAGAGGTCAGAAAACTGGACAAAGATGTGTGCAGGTGCATAGGAAATGCGTAAGAACTTTCTACAACCGGCCAGGGACGCCTGGTGACCAAGCCTGGGCTTGAGTGTCTGGGGCCATCTGCCCGGCCTGCTGAGCACAAGGGCAAGGGGGCCGACGAGCACGGACACGGCCCTCTGCCCCACAGCCAGACGGACGCGGGGAGCTGCCCAGAGGTGCGGCCTGAGTGGAGGAGCACACTTTCAGCCCGCGCTGGTTGAGTTCTGGCCCGGCCTCCCGGTTTGAGGGGTAGATAGTGGATCTGGGGTGACTTCGAGGAGGGGCCAAGGCAGAAGGAAAGAACTTGGCTCTCTGTGGGCCCACTTTGGCACCAGGCCACTTGAGCTCCCTCTGACAGGCTCTGAGAGTGTTTTCAAACTGAGGGTTGAAACTCATTTTGGCAAATTGCAACCAGCATTTAAAAAAAGAAAAAAAAAAAAAAAAAAGACAAAGGCTAGAAAATCTGTGTGCACAGAGTTCCCATAATCTGGGTCCAGAGTGTTCTGTAAAACAGAAGTTCTGGGTACTGGCAACAAAGGTATGCTGGTGGTAGAATGTACACAACGTGCCTACAGGGAGGAAGTTCAAAAGGCACGGCCCTAACACGAGGCTCCAGTGGCCCAGGTGACTCACCAAGGGCCCCTCTGCCAGCTGGGGGTCTCTGGAGAAAGCCTTCCCCAAGGAAGGTGGTTAAGCGACTGCTTTCGGCTCAGGTCATGATCCTGGAGTCCCTGGATTGACCCGCAAGGCTGGCTGCTTCCAGGGAGCACCTGGGAAACCTGGCTGGTGCCGGTGACCAGCATCTCCTGCCCCAGCGCCCTGCTGTGCCCAGCCCTCAGTCCTGCTAGGGGTGGCACCTTGGGCAAAAGCACCAGGGCACCTTCTAAGGTTTGGCACGGAGCATCTGTTGCTTTTGAAATGTGGGGGGAGAACCCATAAAGGGAACTAGCAGGAATTTTCCAGACTTAAAAAAGAAAAAAACCCCAAACCTTCCCCCCAGCAGGTTGGAAGCATTCGCCCCAGATGCCAACCAGGGAGCCCACCTACCCGCCTTGAAGCTCAGCTCATCATGCTCCTGCCCTTCATAGTCGTAAAGGGCCCGGACCCGCACTTCTGTCCCCGAGGTGGCATCCTCGTCAAATGGGTTTGAGTCCCCATTGGCATCCGTGGAGGAGAACGGGTTGTTAGATTCATCATCTGACCAGTCAGTGGGGTAGCTCTGGGTCTTCTCGTAGCTGCTCACGCTGCAAGAAAGGGTGGCCCCGGAGGGCCCTGAGCACGGGGCTGGCAGAGGCACGAGGCCCTGCCTGGAGCCGGCAGCCCTGGGGCTGGGCGGGGGCCCCCTTCCGCAGGAGCACTGCCCCTCAGCATCACAGAGCAGTCAGCCTCCCCGCAGGGCCACCCAGCATGCCCGTCTTCCTGCGGTGGTGTGCCAGGGCCTCGGCGAGGGTTAACGGAGGACAGAGAAAAAGCAACCAGAGATTGTTAATGGGTGCCCCCTCCCCCCCCACTGAGAAATCGAGAAGCCAGAGACTGTCCACCAGCTGGCAGCTGGGCCACCTCCTGCAGGCCTCATGCATTGCTTTGAGTGCCAAGGGGGCGAGAGCCTGGACAGAGAGAGAGGAGAGACAGAGAGCGAGCGAGGTGGAAACCAGAGGGAAATGTTTGTTCACCAACTTTTTGGCCTTAATGTCCTCCTTCTCACTGACGGTGCTCCCCGTGTCGTCCTCATCCTCGAAGGGGTTGTAGCTGGACAGTGACTGCGCTGACCGTGCGGGGTTGCTCGGGACACTAAGGTCACTACCGGGAGAGAGAGAGCTTTCAGGGGACCCCAGCTCGGCACCCCACCCCGGTCCTGGGTGCTCCCAGCTGCAGGATCACAGGGCCAGGGTCTGAAGGGACAGATTGGCTCCTTGCCAGAGAGGAGGATATGTTGTTTGAGCAGAAAGAATGGTTTAGCAAAAACAGTGATATTTTGGTGGTTAAACACACTTAAAACGTCTAGGAGAGAACATGTCCACTTCCCTGTCCTTGCCTCTGGATACAGTCTACCCTGAACTGGAGACCCGGGATGCGGACAGGAGGCTGCTGGAGCACAAGTGATGTCTGGGCTTGCCGCTTCTCCCCACCGTCCTCCCGACCTGGCCCCTACTCCTGATGCCGTGAGCTGGCAGCAGGCCTGTGGGGCTCAGAGGCTGGGAGGCTCGGAGCCGCTGTTGAGAGCAGGAGGGAGGCTCCTGGAGCTCCCCAGACCCCACAGCACAGCAGTCCCCTCCTCCTGACTACAAAGGTTCCAGCGGCCTCTTCCCCGCTTCTTCTGGGGCCAGAGCTTCCAAAATCAGCACCAAAGCCCGCTGAACAGCCCTTTGTAAGACATTAGGACCCCTTTTGTGCTCCAGAGAGAGAACATCCATCCGCATAACCGTGTCAGCCGCCTATTGTGTGCCAGGCCCAGAGGGGACGGACTGGGCAGAACTCTGACTCGGGCCCAGGCTGCGGACTGACAGCCAGGACGCAGTGACCATAGGTGCCAGATGCGGAACAAGATGGTAAAGAAGAAAGACGGGCCCCTACGAGCCGTGGCACCACACCATGGATTCAGTTGCAAGGCAGGGCTTGTGGAGCGCACACCACCTCCGGGCCTCCGAGTCGGGCTGCAAGCTGCTGACACTCAGAGTGCTGCATGGACGGCTCAGACAGAGCTGGGGGTGGGAGGAGCGGGAACAGGAGAGAAAATGCCTCAAATGCTACCACGGACCCCAAGTGGCCAGCAACTACCTCATGGCTTCAGGTGAGGGGCACGGGACCCAAGGCTGCCCGCTGCCTACGCCTGAGCCGCATGTCTGAGACCACTAGGCCCTCCTCCCTCCCTGGCACCTTTCTCTTTCTGGTGCTAGGAAGCCAAATTTGTGCAGCAGCCCTGGCCTGCCTAGACTCTCCTAGACCCTCCTCCCCGACCCCTGCAGTGGTGTCTCGTGCCCACCCCCCAGGCCTGCCCCACTCACACAGGTACTAGCCTCATCCCTGGGACAATGCTTACTGCGCCGGTCACTTCACCAAGCCCACCTGCCCAGACGGAGACATGGCAGCTGAACGACCACTGGCCATGCCTGGCCTGGGAGCCCAGGTAGGGGCTCCAGAGAGGCCTCCAGAACCTGCGCTGACCCTCCTAGGAAATAGCAACCATGAACTGCATTATTACTTGTGGCATGGAAGCCTCTAGGCCCAGAGCCTGCGGGGCGGGAGTGCTTCCAGGGGGGTCAGCTGGCAGCCTCAGTTCTGCAGAGGAGAGTAACACCTATCTGCTGGGATTTGGAGGCCTGGGGGCAGGCCTTGTCTAGCACACACTTTCCAGGAGGGTCTAATGACCTCAGTGCCACTTTTTCTACCCAAACTTGGTTTCAGCAAACAATTAAGTCAGAAGTAAAATAACCAACACTCTCATCAAAGAGGTGACTTGAAAGGGGGGACACTTTGATCTCCTGCACTGCCCCCCCCCACTCCCAAATCAGGCACCTGCATACAGGACAGGGAAGTACAAACCTGGCCGGGATACCTAAACCCGCCCAAAGGACGGCACTGACAGTGACCTCCGCCTGCCAGTGTGTACTCCTGGGGACACACAATGACCAGTACCTGACATCACCTCTTGCCCTCACTTGGGGCCCCAAGCATGTTTGTGGCAAAGCCTCCCTTCTCTGGATCTTTCCACAGCTCTAGCATTAAGTGATCCTCCCCAGAGAGGCCACTGCCCAGCGGAATTTGGATGCCCAAGGAGCATCATCTGGAAAGACACCCGTGGGGTTCCCTGCAAGGCCTCACTGGGGAGTCTCCCAGGTATCCGGGCTAGGAGCGTCCGGCCCACACAGAGGACCCGGGGGACCTATCCCAGGGGATGGAAGCTGCCCCGGCACCCACCTGCTGGGCTTGTTCTGCAGAGCCTGGTCACCTGTCTGGTTGATGCCTGTCAGGGTGACGCCATCAGCAGCCTTCTTCTTCTCTCTCCGGCTGAGGGTTCGATTCAGGTCTGCAGACCATTCCTGGGCAGCAGGCACCGAGGGAGAGAAACAGGAAGTTCGTTTGTTTGAGGCCACATCAGTCTAACACACCGGCCAGCCGGCCAGTGGCCTGCCCTGCACACCTCGTGACATGTAGCCCCACGGCCTCAGTCTGCCTTGTTCCCCAGCCGACCTCAGGTTCCTGGCACCCTCTTGCTACCCCCTCCTCACTGCCACAGGTGAGGACTCCAGCCTGTGGAGGCCCAGTCTCCAGAAGGAGAGTCTGAGCAGCCAGCACTCAGACGTCCAGGAACTGCCCCATCCTGCCCCGGCCCCCAGGGCCCTAAGCCTCCAGCCCCCTCCCGCCAGCAGGGGTCGCCAGAGGCCTCACCAGCTGTCCCTGAGCCTTCCAAAGTAGACAGGAGCCAGTTCCCAGCTTTCCCTAAACTGTTTCTGGCTCCTAGCGGGGCAGGAGAGCTGGCCGCAGGGCCTGAGCAAGCCTGCGCCATGGGGACCGCGCCATGGGGTGCATACACGACAGGGGCCGGGTGTCACATGACTGGGGGGGGCAGGGAAGCTAGCCCACCACGCGGGTCTCCAGGGATCAGGGCCCTCACTGGCAGCACCGGCTGTGGGACTAACAGAACAAAGTAAAGCGCTGACCTCCCCAAAGGTTTGCCAGTTTCCCAGCATGTTAACAGCTTTTATCGACTGCACTGAGAAACAGTGGAAGTGGGTTAAGGGAAGAAGGGGCTATGATATCATCTCCCAGAGAGGTGTGTGCATGCACATGGTTAATGAATTCTCCCTCCTGACCCCACCCTTCACCAAACAACCTTAACTGAATTAACCCTTGGTGTGACTGAGTCCACAGCTTGGCCCGGGTTAAAGCCTTCTTAGAAACATCAAGAATAACCTGCCAGCTTGTGAGACAAGAAAACTGAGGCCCAGAAAGAAAAGGTGACTTGCCCAGAGTTGGTGGCAGACCTGGGCCCCTGGCTCCAGACCCTGGTCACCTATTTGTTTATTAATTATTTTCTCAACTGACATAAGTTGACTCAGAGAGACCGTGTGAATATAAACCTATCCTGACTGGGCGGCACCCCAGGGCCCATGTGATCTAGCCCTGGCCAGCCTGGGAAGGAGGGGCTGGCTGTTAGTGTGGACAAGGAACAGCAGAGCAGCATGGCTGCCCCGGTTCTTTCGCTGGCCCACGGTGTCAGAACCACGCTGTGGACCCTCCACACACACACACGCACACCCATGCGGGCCGGACACACACTGCAGGAGGTTTGGGATTATACATTAGCCAGAAAATAGGAACTTACTTCATCCTGCAGCATGTAAAATAAAAACAAATAATTTTATTAGAGAAAGTCAAGCATGATCCTCTAAGAACCCTAAGCACGAGCCACATGTGGGCGCTGCTTTCCAGCCTGCAGGATCCACAAGAGAAGGGCCACGGTGGGCTCTGGCCGTCAGACAGCCTGTCAGGTCTTCCTTTCCAGACTATTCCATTCTCTGGGTATTGGTGGACAAGCCTAAGGGCCTGGGGGCGGTGTGGGGGGGGCGCGTTTCGCCGGTGGCTTCCCGAGGCCCTCCGGAGCAGCACACACCACGTGCCGAGTGAAATCCTGCTCTGTGCGCAGGACACACCAACTCGCTTCCTCCAGGGCACCACTGCCGGGGGCGGGGGGGGGGGCTCTGTGCTCTCCCCTCTGGGACACTTCCACTACTCTGTCCCAGTGCCCCCGTGGAAGGGGCACAGTCCTGTTGGGAGCAGATGTCCTAAAGACAGAGCGGGGGGCGTGCTCAGCTGCAGGGACCTACGCTGCCATTGGAGCAGCTTTCTTGAGAAGAAGCTCCAGAAGACAGAGGCACATGTGTGAGGACAGACACAACTGTGGACTAAGATGGGGCCAAGGGCCAGCATGGACCCCCAGCTGCTGGAGGACATGGGTGCTGTTGTCACCCCCATTTTATACATGGAAACGACCTGCTCAGTGTCCCACAGCTGCCAAGTGGTGAGATCAGATGTAAGTGCAGCCAGGGCCCTGGTGGCCACCGAGGCACGGGAAGCCCCTCGGCCCCCACACAAGGCACCCTCCCTGGAAGGCAGCTGCCGAGCCTTTCCTGGCCCCTGCTTTACCACAAGATGGGGAGACCCCTGCCCTCAGAGAAGCGGGTGGCAGGGCCTGGTGGGGGTGGGAGGGGCAGAGGGGGCTGGAAGAGACCCGAGATCCCCAGGCCCTCATATTTTGCATGTAAAGATACTGGAAGCTTAGACCCATGAAATCAGGAAAAGAGAAAAGTTAATTCTGAACCAAAATTAGCTGAATGTACTGCCTGAAACAAGGAAAAGTCCCTCATGCGAAGGGTAAGAAGAGCTACACACAACCCGCCCCCCACTCCCCCCCCAGACCCGAGGCCGCCAGGCCTGGTGTGCCCTGCGACAGCCCACTTCGCAGCCATCCTGCAGGGTGCGGCAGGGAACCGGCGGCTCCTGGGACTCACCCTGAGAAGACAACGCCGATGGTCAACAAGCGACCATCCAAGTTCTTAACGAGAAAGAACATAATCGCACCTTCACTGAGATTCAGAAGGCCCTTCAGGAGTGCCCTCGGGACTCTCAACATCGACCTGGATCCCAGAGTAGCCATGCTTAAAGGCTGCCTCATAAGCAGGGCAAAGGCCAACACTGGGTTGGAAGGAAAAAGATAGCATATGTCTCAATCCTGTGGGCCCAGGGGGTCACGGGCACAGCCTCCTCTTACCTCAAACTGTGGCCAGTTCATGGACATGCCTGGCCCGTGGTTGGCTCTGAACCACCTCAGGTCCTCCACCGCGTCAGCAGCTTTGATGCTCTGCTCCAGGTCACGGTAAATGTTCTTGTAGCTAAATCAAACAGAGGAGATGCATGACTGTCCTGGAAGGCAGGGATGGGCACTGTTCACACGGAGGGAAGGGCAGGTGAAGACAGAGAGAGAAGATGGCCGTGTGACGGGGGCGATGTGTCTACAAGCCAAGGACTGACAGCAGACAGACAGCTGCAACGATCCTCCCCGAGAGCCTCAGAGGGAACACGGCCCTGCCAACACCTTGATTTCACACTTCCCACCTCCAAACTGAGAGAGAGAATAAACTTCTGCTGTCATAAGCCACTGGGTTCTGGTACTTTGTTCTGGCAGCGCTCGGACACTACTCTGCCGTCTACTCCCCAGGCTGGCTTCGAGAGCTCAGGCCAGGCATGCCAGCCGAGGTCAGGCATGTACACCCCACCCCAGCCAGCCGTGTAGCCCCAGGCAAGTCAATCCACTACAACCGGCCTCAGTTGCCCCGTAAGACGGGGAACAATGCCACCCACTTTATAGACTGTCATAAGCATTAATTAAATCCTGGCAGAGTGGCTGTACAGTAATTGTTCCTTCCCGCTGTACTGTGCAAGAGACAAAGAGAATGTAATTTCCTACGAACGAGAAGCCTTAGCTCGTGAGTCATTTCTACGTGGCTCTGCGATATGGATGACTGAAGTCCACATCCATGGTTAGCCCAGACCTCTGGCCCTGTGGAGGCACCACAGGACCACAGACAAGGCAAATGCAGGAGAAATACCACAGCCTCCATGTCATGATCCAGAGCTGAGTCCGAGGGCCTCTGCTGTCCAAGGGACCCCTGAGTAGTCAAGGGCTGAGCAGGGAGCTGCTCTAAGAGGAGGGGCCTCTGGAGGGGCTTCGAAGTAAGACAGTCTTGAGGACAGGGCACACCAGCCCAGGAAACATAGAGAGATGTTCCTGGCTTCATTTCAAATACACCAACTGTGGCCCTCCCTTCCTACCTGGATCTAGACTGTTGTACACAGAGCCAGCAGCGCGTGGCCCACCTTACTGCGTGGCCCGAGGCCGCCCAGCTCAGGCCAGCAATCAGCCGTCCCAGGCGGTGGGGTGCCTGGCCCAGGCCAACCACACAGCTGCAGACAGGCTCAGCACAAGGTCCCTCCCTGGGCAGGAGGACTTAACCAGGGACTTAACTTTTTTTTTTTTTTAAAGATTTTATTTATTTATTTGACAGAGACACAGCGAGAGCAGGAACACAAGCAGGGGGAGTGGGAGAGGGAGAAGCAGGCTTCCCGC